AATGAAAATAAAGCAAATACCAAATTAATTGTTCATCATATTTCCATTTATATCCACAGCTTCTGCACACACTAAGACACACAGGGACAAAATATTATGAAAAGGGATCTCTAGCTGCCTTTCTTTGTTGAGCCCTTGGGAGACTCAGGAACAGGAATTAGACATTTCTGGTTTGTAAATGACCAGAAAGAATGACCCAGATGACAAGAGGAAGTAAACAGGAAGAGGTGATGAACCTCATCACCTCCAGGTCTCCTAGTCTCTCCTGTATCGCTTCAGTTTACACTTGTTCATGTTCTTATACTTGTTTGTACACTTCATATGTGTGGCTTGCTTACTCATGTGGCTTAGAAACATGAATGTCTTGCAGAAGCTCCACAGGGAACTTGATACAATGGGTACAGTGGAAAGATAACATGCCAGAGAACGCCTCTGCTCCTCTAGGCTAAACTCTTAACTCCTCAGCTCCATTTTAAGCCTCAGTTTTTGTACCTACTTTTATTCTTCTCTATTTTGTTTTTAATTTGTAATAAATTGTGATCCTTTGGTACCGGATACTGAATACTAACACCCAGTCTTTAACACTGTTGTTTCCCCATCTGATCCAGAGCATCAACAGCAAAAGCTCAGAAAGAAGACTGTAAAATTTCCAACTCCAGAAAACATAAATATGGGTCTGATTCCCTGACCTGACCTGCAGGTCCTAGTTATTCGTGGGGGCTAGGAGGACCGCAACCTGAAAAAGAGCGGCCAAGAGAAAAGAAAGGACTCAAGGAAGCAATTGCTTGTCAAGAGTCGTGTATTTGAACGTGAAGCCCCCTTTTATAGTAGGCTTTACAAGGGGAGGGGGTAAGAGGGGCCAGGTGGTGGAAAAGTACAGAATATTCATGGCCTGTGCCCTGAAACATGTCATGGTCTACATGGTACACTGCCTTGTATTATGATCTACCTGCTATTCTTCAGAAGATATGGTACACTGCTTTGAGTCTATCTGCAGCTGCCAGGCAGGATCTTGCGGTTGCCAAGCTATAGGGGACATTGTGCAGGTGGGGAAAGGTAGGGGGTGAGGATAAGGGTGAGGGTCCTGGCTTCCGGCAATTCCCCATCTATTTACAGTTTCAATGGTTACAGACTTAACTACTTGTGTTGCTCTCTCCTGTCTTAAAGTCAGTGTCACTCACTTCTGAATAATACTACATTTTTGTTCTTGCCTTCATTGGAACCATAATATATCATCTCTATTATAGCATATATCCCAGTGGTCCAGAAGGTGGATGGTGGTAGTTTTTAAGTACAGGGATAGCAGGTACAACCATGTGGCCACTACTCAATAGAGTATTGACCAGATAGATCATCAGAGTTGTGAGAGCATAATCTGTTGGAGTTGACACAATATTCCAAAACTATGTCTAAATCCAAAGTCAAGGTGTTCTTGTGTTAATGTCTGACAATATCTCTTTGGAGTCTAAATTAGACTACTCTACAAAGAAAAAATTTAAATCTTTTTAATAAGAATTGAAAAATAAAGTTACTCCCTGTATTACTACTTCTACTACTACCAACCATTTGCAAAACTCCTACCTTATTATTTATTTATTTATTTATTTATTTATTTATTTATTTATTTATTATTTTATGTATGTGGATGTTTGCCTGTACATACATATGTGTGCCTGGTGCCTGAGGAGTTCGGAAGAAAGCATCAGGTTCTCCAAAACTGGAGTTATAGCTGGCTGTAAGCCATCATATGGATGTAGGAAATTGAACTCAGGTCTTCTGCAAGAAAAACAACTGCTAAGAAAAACTGCTAAGACATCTCTATATAGCCAACCTAATACCTTTTAATAGAAACTGTAGTAAGTGCTTTTCACAGGTTACTTTATTTAATTATCAAGATAATGGGACCCATGAAGGAGGGGCTATAGTAATTAACATTTGTCATGTAAGAAACCAAAAGCTTAGAGACCTGAAATGATTGTATAGTGGGACTGAATGATGTCTATAGTAAGTTGCACATCCAGTTCACTGCTGACTACCTGAATTCAAAGTATCTGTAGCTAAGTGTAGTTTTCAAAAGGTCTTACTATATGTTAACCACACTCCACCTATGCCATTATCAGCTGATCTGAAGTTGTCTTTTGCTCCATTTGATGGAATCCTACCTTACCCTGAAATTATTGGAATATCATTGTCTCGGGGCAGCAAGAGTTAGACATGGAGAGGAACTGAAAAATCTATACCTGCTGTGTATCAGGGCAGCCCCATGTCTCCTGCAGCAAGCCAATCCTGAGCTAGTTTTTGTTGATCTTTTATCATATTTCCAAGCTATTTCCCCATTCAGTTTCAAACATTCAATTTCCAATGCACTTTCCATTTGCTGGTTTTTATTGTCATCTATTCCCATTAGTAGGAATCGAAATCATTTTACCTTAGAACTGGATCATGTAGAACAGATATTATCAGAATAATTTCCAAAACAGGTTCAGAGAACTTACAAGGCAGGCCCCAAGTCAACTTCATTTGTAGGCAGAATGAGCATAGAGCTTAAATTCAGGCCTCCATCGTGAATGCAGGCCCTTGAAACCTGAACAGTCTGAATGCTCCTGAATGTTCAGGAGCTTTGATGGCCCATTTCCCTGCCCTCTAGTAAATATCCAGATTCGCTTTTGTAAGTTCACTCAAAAAGTCACTCTACTTCCTTCATCTTGTATCCCACCTGCTGGCACCACTATGCAGAATTTCAATGTTGCCTTCTAAGTGTCTTCCTTCTTCACTCACTGCCCTTGTCCTACATCCACTCTATGATCAAGTCATGTGTATTCTATACTCAGTATGTAAAATGTACACACCCCTTTTCATATCTACCAGACTGCCATTACATTTCTTCTGGACAGTCAAAATTCATCTTCTAATCTGTTCCCATTTTTCTTGTCCACTGTAAGGGAGTTCTCCTACTGAAGCCAGGGTCATCTCTTTATAACATGAACACAAACTACAAATGTCATCTTAACCTCTTGTTGAAAAAAATTACATTTCTTTGTATGATTCTTTTGTAGAAGTCAGCTTTGAACACAGCCAACAAAGTCTGTCATGATCTCGTCCTCACTGTGTCTCTACTGTATCCCTACATGCATATTTCTAAATTCGTAAACTTTGCAAAGCATGCCCCATGGCTGTCCCCACCCCACTTCTAGCTCACTCCCAACCCCCATTTCTTCTAAATTGCAGTAATGACTACTCATTCCTCATTCTTTAGGTGCTCCTTTCTCAATGACCATTTTTCTGGACTCTGCTATGCTCTCAACTATTGTAGTTCTTAAAACTTACCACTGTTGCAAGTTTACATTTATCTGTAGCATTATTTGATCTGTGCTACTTCCCTTATCAGATAATGTTTCTTTCTCCTAAGTCTTTGTGTGTTCAATACCAAATGTAGAACATGGTTCCTGTCTTTGTGTATTTGCTAAATGAATGAAAGGTACATGAAAGCAGTGAAGGTGTTCCTTGGGAAGGTTATACACACAGGGTTCCACAATGAGGTTGTAGACTGTAGTCTTGATGCCTTCTGGATACAGAGTAAAGATGCACTCATACTTTCCACTGAGGGTGGGATAGATATTCCTTAAGTATAAAGTCCAATTTGTTACACCCTTCAGAGATTTTATGGCAGCCACTTGAGACTCACAGGCATGCGCCTGCCTACAGTAGAAGCCATACTGGGGATGATAAACAGCAATAAACTCAGTCTTATCTGTGACCTTGGACCACTGCATCTGTACCAAGAAGTCTTTCTCCTTTGTTTGGCAGGTCAAGTTGACATCAGAACCAGGTAGAACATACACATTATCTCCGGGATTGAATAGCTCTTCCCATACTTCTGGAAGGACGGACATGAATAATCAGTTTGCACCGTTCCCCTGGAGTGCCCCTTTAGGTTGTGCACTGTTTGTGTGTGACGGGGGATTATGGGTGGGTGTGTGGGTGTTTTAAGATAAGTAGAGGAAATTATTGACGTGTGCATATTTCTGTTTGTTGGTCTATCCAAAAAGCAACTGAAGGTCTCTGACTATGAATTAAATTAAGCATTCTTCAAGACTAATTTTTATTGTATTTTTACCTGTATGTATGAGTATCTGTCTGCATGTGAATATGAATGCAGATGCCCGCAGATCCTTCAGGAACTGGAGTCACAGCTAGATATGAGTTGCCAGATGTCAGTACTGGGAACCAAACTTTATAAGAGTAGCAAGTGTTCTTAATTGCTGAACTCACTCTTCAGCCCATAAGTCTGATTAAAGACAGACGTGTCCCAGCAAACTTAGCATGAAGTTGTTAATATACATAAATATTGTTGACCTTCTGCATCAACATCTGTAATAACTAGTCTAAGTACAGTAGTTTTTTCAGTCTTTATTTGCAAGTTCTTTATAATAAAGTGGTTTTTATTTTAAAATACTATGTGCTTACCAGAGGCTTTTGTATGTACTATCTTTTTAGTCTTCTGGCTTCATAAGATAATATTGTTATGCTCCCTTATCAAAAAGGAAAGTAAAGCAGTTAGCAATGAAGGAGAGCACTCAGAGATGCACTCCCTTAAGAGAAGATGAATTCTCTTCACAATTAGTCACATCTGTAGTTTTCCTTTAACATTAACTTCATAACTCCAAATTGCCTCCTATA